TCAATCCCACCAAAATCAACCCCACCATATCAACTCCCCTCCAGGGGGTATCCCTGTATCAATCCCTGCTTGTTCTGCCTCTCTCCCTCCCTTCATCCTCAGACCTTCACTCCAGCTCAGCGGTGACTCTCAGGAGTCTGCCCTCGTTTATTTGCAAGTGAAACGCAGAGTGAAGTCCCTCTTGGGTGATGAGGAAACGCAAAAACCGAGAGTGTGGGCTTGTCTATCGGATGCATATCAAGCCTGAAAACAGATTTAATTACTGCATGCACGACGTGGCATAATTCATGCCAAGCCTCCAGGATGCACGCTAAAGTAAGCTGGCTCAGCATGCTGCCATTTTAAACCAAATAAGCGTGAAGCGTCATTCGTTTCACATTTGCATCGATTGCCACGCTAATTCGGCTGCTGCGGAGACGCTCCCTGCCGGCAATCTGTCGCTGAGTTTTCCAGGACGTGGAGAGAGCTTTCTCCTTTCCAGAGGCTATCTTTGCAGATCTATAAGTTACACAGAGTGTGGAGGCTCTCTGGTCCAGCCATCGTGAAGGCCTCACTTATCTATCAGTGCCGGGAGACCAGCTGGCCGCACTGACCAAGACAGGCAAGAAAAGCCTGTGTGCTCTCAACACACTCATATGAATCTTTCACTGTGTGTTACAGTGCAGTGAAGTTTATGCTGCTCTTTCACCACGCCTTTCATTAAAGTCCATGCTCGTAATTTTATCATGTGTCCATTAATAACGTTTATACCGATAATTCTCTGGGGGCCTTTTGTTAAAGTTCATACTGGTAATTTTCCCAACAGCCTTTTAATCATGTTCACACTCTTATTTTACCACATTCGCTGTGTTTAATCTGCCACACAAAAGCATAAATCTACGCGGCCTGCAGAAAAGATGGATGACTCCTTTTGAACTAAGAGGCTCTGTAAACTGAAGCCATACCCCTTCCATCCTCTAGGGGCAGAAGAGAACATGATAGTTAGGGATGCAGACTTCAACAATAATGGCTGCTGGTTCAAATGTACAGCAAGGGTGAGATGCTGGAGAAGAAACCAAAGTGGGGCTCACTGACCCTGGTGTCCTGAGTACCTGAAACTGCTGGGGAATTAAATTCTTATCAAGGTAGGTAAGACAAACACCAAAAAGACCCCAGCACCAAGAAAAGAACAGAAGCCCCTAGTGTCAAATGCAGAGGAGGGTCTCCGAAGAAGAGTGACGTGCATGTAAAGTAAAACACTGCAAGGTGAGCAGCCTAGGAAGCGTAATGCTGAGACTGGCATCGCCAGGCCTTGGGGAGCTGGTCTGGGTTAGCTGCTGAACTGCTAAACCCATATAAATCAATGTCACAGCTGGGAACAGGTGTGCCGAGCAAACCGGAACCAGGGAGATCAGCTGGCTCAGTCTCCTGTGAAGGACAGCAAGCCTGAACCCCTCCTCACAAATCATCCATCCATCCATACGTCCATCCATCTTCCAAAGGCCTATCCAGTAGAGGGCAAGGGAGAGCCTGGAAAATGGCCCAGGCAGCTCCCCGAATACCGGTACAACTTAGCGTGTGATATCAAGCATATATAAGGAAGACCAGGTACATCTGTTGAATGGGGTCAGTCGTTTGATACAGTAATCTTCCTTAGAGTCCCCCAAAGACCCCAGATACCTAGCAAACTAGTGCAACTTTACGTTAAAAGTGTTTTTCTTTTTTTTCCAGTTGGATCATTTTTTCTACATTTCCTAAAAATGAAAACAATTCAAGCATTGTCCCTGAACAGTCGGTTTAGTACATTTCGACGGTAGCAAGCGAGCCACTTCCGCAGCATGTGAAGTGTCTGACAGCTGTTTATTTTTAAAAGCCAGACCTCAGACTGCGATAAAGGTCAGAGAATCTCCCGGCTGAGACTCCTGAGCCGCAGGACTTCGGCTGATTGCTAATTAGTTGGCCCCTACGATTAAATTGCAGCCGGTGGTTTAAACGCAAGGAGCCCATGGAAGCCAGCAGTGGAATATTCCCCAGAGAGGGCTGCTGGGAAATTTGGGGGGAAAGACAGACTCTACACCGTGACAAAGACAAGGAGGGTGACCATTACAAAGACAGAGCTTTTGAGAAGCTGTGTAACACCTTAGGATCCGATTCCTTTCAATCCCCTTACTGGTTCCAGTTCCTCTAGGTAAATATTCACTCTCTAGGTAAATAGTCACTCAAAAAAAAGAAAACGCAAATTTTTGTGGCTCAAACCTCTGCTATCTCTCTGACTTCTCGTATCACGAACTGCGTTTTGTCATCATGTCATGTTAAATAACTCATTCGAGATGATAATCCCCTTAAAGCTTTAAAACACACACAGGCAAATTTTCTGCCTGTCCGGGACGATCTAGATAAATCCGACGGTGGTGAAAAATAAACTCAGGCGGTTGACGCACCAACGGGGGGCGTTGTGGCGTGTGATGAACATCACGCCTGCTTTAAAGTGACAGTGTGTGTCAACACCAGGCTGTCGCAGATAAAAGTGCGCGCTCACAGGGAGGGTGCATGCCATGAGACGCCGCAGCTCAGAAACAAACGGGATTTGCTCAGCCCTATAAAATTAATTCCGCACAGTCTATTGAGTTTAAAGTGCGTCACTCCCTCTCTGAGGATAATGATGGTTTGGAAGCAGGTTCAGGTGTGTTCTGGGGTGTGTGTTGGTGTGTGGCATCCACGTGAATTACAAAGGCCATGGTCCATGGTCCACATCGCCACGAGAGGAGGGCGATGAACCTGTCCCTGTGCTTTCCAGTGTAACGCTTGTTTCTTCTGAACAGTTTGTATTGCATCTTTAAAAAAAAAACACCTTGCCAGCTGAATTGCTGGTAATGGAATGATGAAAACGACATAGTGATGTTGGACGCGACCGGCAGTGCGCAGTCGATCCTTATTTGCAGGGAGTATTGCTGCCGAAGGGGGTGAGGCTAATGCGAATAAAGGTGGAGCCTTCCGCTCTTATAATCACCACATGCAAAAGCATACACGCAAACGTGCGCGCTCACACACACACACACACACACACACACACACACACACACAGACACACACACACACAGACACACACACACACGCACACAGACACACTCACCACCAGGCTCAGGGTACTGCAGCAAGGTGGAGCCTCAGTGGTTAGGGAGGTAGGTGTTTAGAAAGGGGGGGGGGCAGCTTCCCCAGGAAGGGGGGGTCTCGATTACACAGCACACTCAGGCTGCACTTCCCAATGTGAGGCGAGGGGCTCATTTTGCAGGGGGCAGAGCGAGTTTGTTCAGGATAACGGGAAAATGGGGGCTCATTTACAGCTTATGTTGGGAGAAATTGCTCTGTGCCCTGCCGCTTGTCAGGGGGGAGTGTCCGTGTGTGTGTGTGTGTGTGTGTGTGGGAGTCTGTGTGTGAAGAGAGGTTGGACTGCGACAACCCCCCCAGTCTGAGCCCATTGCCTGCTGGATCTGACGTACTCAGCATAACGTTGCCTACATGCCCCCCACCCCTCCCAACAGCCCCAGATCTGCTCATCAGAGCCCGACTGCAGAATCACCAGTCATCTGTAGGCATGGGTCACCTGACCGGGGTCCTGATGGCCATCTGGTCCTATAAATGCCCCCAGATCCACCCTGAAGCCAGCACTGTCTCTCAGGGCCCACTGACAAACCGAGACCTAAAACATCCCCACCCCCTCCTCACCGGCACCCCAGCGAAAGGGGCGTGGTCGCAGTTCTCCTGCCAGGAGCGGTGCAGGCTGACGAGGAAGTCCTGAAAGCGTGGGTGCGAGCGGTTGAACACGGAGAAGCCCACGATGGTGACGTGCTGGTCTGCCACCTCGTCCAATCGCAGCAGAGAGAACTCCTGGAAGGGGGGGGACATCAGCCAACAATCGCTCTGTCAGAAATCAGTACAGACTGGAGCAGCATTGAAAGGCTGAGTAAATAAGCTGCATGTAATGTACGTGTTTTATGCAACCGGATACACACAGCTGCCAACCATCTCGTTTGTATTAACACACACACACACACACACACACACATACCCGGGTTCACCATGCCATTATGTTGGGCCTGAGTGCAGCGTTGACATGGTAACCAGGAGGCCAGGAGGGAAACAGGACAGAGCAAAGCAGGGTCTCCCCATGTCCCCTTATTAACTACTATTATTATCACACACTTAACAGTTCCCTCATCATTTGCCCGGCTGGACTTTACCAGAATAATCCAGTTCGTTAACAGCTAGCCCCACTGCTTGTGTTCCACACCCCTTTGCTTCTGATGAGTCCGACTTTGTGTGTGTTTGTATTTAATTAGCCATTCTGTTGCCCTCTGACATTGTCTCTGAGGTCGCCGGCCTCCCCGGACACGCCGACAGCCGCATGGCCCACATCTCCGCATCCGGGAACCTGTAATGAGTTCCCCGGAGAACACGCTGCTCTGGGTGCACCACGCACAGTCGGCTCCCCAGGCAGCAGGAATGCCACGCGCACACATGCTCACAATGCCAACACCTCCCACCCAGAGCTGATTCAGTGTCACTGCATTTATCACCCTGCTGCTTACAGTTCCACATTTCTAACTCTGGATTGAAGTAATCCATGCTAATGGTGGTACTCCAGTCATGCCTTCAGGGTTCAAAAAATACTTCATTCATACTTTCCAGTTTTGAACTATTACTCCAGTCATACACTAGAAACTCTCACTCTAAGTGCAGTACTTAAGACAGGCGGTGAATGTAGATCTGCCCTTGAATGTTCTTGCTGCAAGCCTCCCCATCCAGCCTACACTCCATCGAGCAGGAAGCTCTCTGAACACAGCAAGCCCTCCGCCGAGCTTTCAGACACCAAACCGCATCCGTTGCGAGACATGAAAGCCAGACAGGCGTATGAGAAACCCAACCACCCGAAACAATCTGTGGGGTTTTATCAAGCCAGATCATTTGATGCTAGAGTGCCACTATCTGTCCCCAAATCACATATTCCATATTGGCGTGGACCTGCGGTGACAGCTAGCCAAACTGCAAGCGAATGCAGCTCGAAACTGGAGCCCGAAATGCGCGCTGAACTTATCAGGAGGCGAAGGAATCGAAGTGCAGTTAGAAACTGGCAGGAACCAGATAAAAACAGATGTGAAAACGGTGCCAGTCTACAAACCACAGCATCAAACCCAGACATCATAATACAAGCCATAGATAAAGACATCAGATATAAATCCTGGTAACAAGCCAGTTATAAGCCCTCTCACAGCCTCCCCCCAGTCTGTAATGATGTATCAATCCCAGCTAGGCAGGTCATGACCCCCTTATAACCCCCACATGTTGTTTTGCAGTATCAATTTCTACTAAGCAGGACACAGTTCACCTAACAGCCTCCCAAGGCTGCGTTGCTATATCAATCCCACCAAAATCAACCCCTAACATATCGATCCCATCAAATCAACCCCAACATATCAATCCCACCAAATCAACCCCTACCATATCAACCCCACCAAATCAACCCTAAAATATCAATCCCACCAAATCAACCCCTAACATATCAACCCCACCAAATCAACCCTAACATATCAATCCCACCAAATCAACCCTAACATATCGATCCCACCAAATCAACCCATACCATTTCAATCCCACCAAAATCTACCCCTAACATATCAATCCCACCAAAATCAACCCCTAACATATCAACCCCACCATATCAACTCCCCTCCAGGGGGTATCCCTGTATCAATCCCTCCTTGTTCTGCCTCTCTCCCTCCCTTCATCCTCAGACCTTCACTCCAGCTCAGCGGTGACTCTCAGGAGTCTGCCCTCGTTTATTTGCAAGTGAAACGCAGAGTGAAGTCCCTCTTGGGTGATGAGGAAACGCAAAAACCGAGAGTGTGGGCTTGTCTATCGGATGCATATCAAGCCTGAAAACAGATTTAATTACTGCATGCACGACGTGGCATAATTCATGCCAAGCCTCCAGGATGCACGCTAAAGTAAGCTGGCTCAGCATGCTGCCATTTTAAACCAAATAAGCGTGAAGCGTCATTCGTTTCACATTTGCATCGATTGCCACGCTAATTCGGCTGCTGCGGAGACGCTCCCTGCCGGCAATCTGTCGCTGAGTTTTCCAGGACGTGGAGAGAGCTTTCTCCTTTCCAGAGGCTATCTTTGCAGATCTATAAGTTACACAGAGTGTGGAGGCTCTCTGGTCCAGCCATCGTGAAGGCCTCACTTATCTATCAGTGCCGGGAGACCAGCTGGCCGCACTGACCAAGACAGGCAAGAAAAGCCTGTGTGCTCTCAACACACTCATATGAATCTTTCACTGTGTGTTACAGTGCAGTGAAGTTTATGCTGCTCTTTCACCACGTCTTTCATTAAAGTCCATGCTCGTAATTTTATCATGTGTCCATTAATAACGTTTATACCGATAATTCTCTGGGGGCCTTTTGTTAAAGTTCATACTGGTAATTTTCCCAACAGCCTTTTAATCATGTTCACACTCTTATTTTACCACATTCGCTGTGTTTAATCTGCCACACAAAAGCATAAATCTACGCGGCCTGCAGAAAAGATGGATGACTCCTTTTGAACTAAGAGGCTCTGTAAACTGAAGCCATACCCCTTCCATCCTCTAGGGGCAGAAGAGAACATGATAGTTAGGGATGCAGACTTCAACAATAATGGCTGCTGGTTCAAATGTACAGCAAGGGTGAGATGCTGGAGAAGAAACCAAAGTGGGGCTCACTGACCCTGGTGTCCTGAGTACCTGAAACTGCTGGGGAATTAAATTCTTATCAAGGTAGGTAAGACAAACACCAAAAAGACCCCAGCACCAAGAAAAGAACAGAAGCCCCTAGTGTCAAATGCAGAGGAGGGTCTCCGAAGAAGAGTGACGTGCATGTAAAGTAAAACACTGCAAGGTGAGCAGCCTAGGAAGCGTAATGCTGAGACTGGCATCGCCAGGCCTTGGGGAGCTGGTCTGGGTTAGCTGCTGAACTGCTAAACCCATATAAATCAATGTCACAGCTGGGAACAGGTGTGCCGAGCAAACCGGAACCAGGGAGATCAGCTGGCTCAGTCTCCTGTGAAGGACAGCAAGCCTGAACCCCTCCTCACAAATCATCCATCCATCCATACGTCCATCCATCTTCCAAAGGCCTATCCAGTAGAGGGCAAGGGAGAGCCTGGAAAATGGCCCAGGCAGCTCCCCGAATACCGGTACAACTTAGCGTGTGATATCAAGCATATATAAGGAAGACCAGGTACATCTGTTGAATGGGGTCAGTCGTTTGATACAGTAATCTTCCTTAGAGTCCCCCAAAGACCCCAGATACCTAGCAAACTAGAGCAACTTTACGTTAAAAGTGTTTTTCTTTTTTTTCCAGTTGGATCATTTTTTCTACATTTCCTAAAAATGAAAACAATTCAAGCATTGTCCCTGAACAGTTGGTTTAGTACATTTCGACGGTAGCAAGCGAGCCACTTCCGCAGCATGTGAAGTGTCTGACAGCTGTTTATTTTTAAAAGCCAGACCTCAGACTGCGATAAAGGTCAGAGAATCTCCCGGCTGAGACTCCTGAGCCGCAGGACTTCGGCTGATTGCTAATTAGTTGGCCCCTACGATTAAATTGCAGCCGGTGGTTTAAACGCAAGGAGCCCATGGAAGCCAGCAGTGGAATATTCCCCAGAGAGGGCTGCTGGGAAATTTGGGGGGAAAGACAGACTCTACACCGTGACAAAGACAAGGAGGGTGACCATTACAAAGACAGAGCTTTTGAGAAGCTGTGTAACACCTTAGGATCCGATTCCTTTCAATCCCCTTACTGGTTCCAGTTCCTCTAGGTAAATATTCACTCTCTAGGTAAATAGTCACTCAAAAAAAAGAAAACGCAAATTTTTGTGGCTCAAACCTCTGCTATCTCTCTGACTTCTCGTATCACGAACTGCGTTTTGTCATCATGTCATGTTAAATAACTCATTCGAGATGATAATCCCCTTAAAGCTTTAAAACACACACAGGCAAATTTTCTGCCTGTCCGGGACGATCTAGATAAATCCGAAGGTGGTGAAAAATAAACTCAGGCGGTTGACGCACCAACGGGGGGCGTTGTGGCGTGTGATGAACATCACGCCTGCTTTAAAGTGACAGTGTGTGTCAACACCAGGCTGTCGCAGATAAAAGTGCGCGCTCACAGGGAGGGTGCATGCCATGAGACGCCGCAGCTCAGAAACAAACGGGATTTGCTCAGCCCTATAAAATTAATTCCGCACAGTCTATTGAGTTTAAAGTGCGTCACTCCCTCTCTGAGGATAATGATGGTTTGGAAGCAGGTTCAGGTGTGTTCTGGGGTGTGTGTTGGTGTGTGGCATCCACGTGAATTACAAAGGCCATGGTCCATGGTCCACATCGCCACGAGAGGAGGGCGATGAACCTGTCCCTGTGCTTTCCAGTGTAACGCTTGTTTCTTCTGAACAGTTTGTATTGCATCTTTAAAAAAAAAACACCTTGCCAGCTGAATTGCTGGTAATGGAATGATGAAAACGACATAGTGATGTTGGACGCGACCGGCAGTGCGCAGTCGATTCTTATTTGCAGGGAGTATTGCTGCCGAAGGGGGTGAGGCTAATGCGAATAAAGGTGGAGCCTTCCGCTCTTATAATCACCACATGCAAAAGCATACACGCAAACGTGCGCGCTCACACACACACACACACACACACACACACACACACACACAGATGTTGGCGTACCTATCTAAACGGGGGACTTCCATTTATTGCTATGGGGAAACCCCTAATCCGAATCGCAACACCCTTAACCCCTACCCAGCCCTAACCGGAACCATAAGAAACCAACCAAAATACAAAACTTTGGCCATTTTTACTATTTTGATTACAGTCACAGATTTTTATAAAATTGAGGTCAGCCAGTCAGTGTCAGGTTTTACCATACTTTGGGGACATTTTGGTCCCCAAATGTGATCTATGCAGACCCACACACACACATGCGTGCACGCACACACACACACACACACACACACACTGTGGCTTATTCAGAAGGCCTGTATTTCACCACCTCGTGCATTTTTTTCCTGGAAATACTGCTATTAGTTTATCACATTTGAATAATTCCACAAAGCACAGACCACCCGCCCCGCGTAATCTGAATGACTGAGCAATTTCGAGAAGCGCCACAATTGTTTATTTCAGTTATTTTAAGAGTCCTCTTCATTGAGCAATTTTAGAAAGTGCTGTAAATGTTTATTTATGTATTAAGAATCCATTTCATGTTACTCAGGGATAAACCACTAGCCCTGGAAAGGGGAGGTGTCCGAAGAACCACCCCCCTTTTCTTTACGAACTCAGGGACTTGGTACTGACCCATTATGCACGACCCTAATGTTAGCATGGGCCGCCATTAGCATTAGCATGTGTGAGGCAGTGGTGGGGCAGGAGTGCTTACCAGCGAGGTGAAGATGTAGGTGTAGTGCACAGAGAGCATCCCGAGCCGTGAGGCCTGGAGGAGACAGAGAATGAGAAGCGTCATATGACGAGGTCATGGGGTCATGGGGTCACCTCCAAATGGCATTTCCTGCCTGGCGTCACAGGAAATCACACTTTAAGATCAAGCCAGTCCCTGACGGTGCACTGCAGACCCACAACAAACAGCAGACTCATACCGCACAGGCAAACAGCACACGATGGACGGAGCAGGGAGCATCTTTTGGTCGTAGTCAACATGGAATCTGGAAGATCTGCCTAAATTTCATAAAAAGGAAAATCAATTTCTGTCCTATCAAGCCATCTGTGAGACAGTGCTCAAGGGAAATCTCCTGCCGGGGGGGCGGGCGTAGGGGGGCGCGCACCAAAAAGCGAGGAGCGGCGCACTGATTGTTACTCGGGTGATGTGCAGGGCTACAAGTATCTCCACAAAATGAAGGCACCTAAATCACATAAGTCTTGATTTTTCCCCTCATACAAAATTAGTACTGAAGGCAGCAGCAGCTCGTATGATACCTATACACAACTCCTGTGGGACAGGGAAGATACCGAGCGCTAAAAATCAGCAGTGCCTCATTCACCCTTTCCTGCCTCGAATGCTGTCATGGATCAGCACATTTACAGGTGTCAAGAATTGAAAGTGACTAGTTATCATTGTTGACATACCACAGCATACAGTGCACAGTAATGAGATGCATCCACTGCATTTAACCCATAGCAATCAGCTACTATTATTTAGTGCCTGGGGGGGCAGCATGTGGGGACAGGACCTTACTCTGAGCACTTCACTGGTATGCTGCTGGAACCAGGAACCTTTCAAACAGAAGCACACTTACCTAACCATGAGGCCACCACTGCCATTGAAATATACAGCAAGGTTAAAACCATGTAAACCGTGGAAGTCATTTTAGATCAACGCACCTACAGCTACGAGAAGACAGGCGGACTAACACATGTGTTTGTGTCATATTACGCTACATGGTAATTAAACCCTCTTCTGCCCTGGGGTAATGTCTCCTATTTGCCCTTCTACTTAACGTTACAACATTATTCATATTTTCATACATCAGCCCTCAAATTTGCATAAATATCTCTCTAAGCAGCCTCATCATTTACCTCCCAGTAACAAACATCGTAACCAAATGACTTCATCAATCCAGCTTAGTTAAGTCTTGCTTATTTACTGCAGCGGCTAATGGGGCATGTGCACCCCAGTGCAGATTACATTTAGCTGCAGGTAATATGCAATTGGAAAGAAAGTGAATGACTGAACTTGCGACCAGCTGATTCCCTGCCTATGTGGGGGCATCTTCCTGCAGCCCCCCAGGGTAGGCCGCATCCCTATGGCGGGACAACTTTTGCTAATGCTAATGCTACCTTTGTTGTTGTTATTTAGCATCACACTGCTCAGATGACCCTGCTGGTTGCTGGTTCACCTGACAGCTGATAATCTCCTCCACCTAGTGACACTCCTGATTGTGCCTATGGTGTCACTTTCACGGTGTCCCGGAGGGGGTGGGGCCAGTGTTCGGGCGCTATGGCGTTGGCACCGTGAGCGTCAAGTGGACTTGCCAATAGGAGGAGGTGCAGTGTCAGAGACGGCCACTAGGGGAAGCATGATGGTCTCACAATGAGCAGCTCTGCATGTCAACAATGTGAAGAAGGGATGGATCAGTCACAGAAAAATGGTGAGGGGAAAAGGCCTGTGGCTAAAAAGGGTCACAAGAAAGACTGACAGAAGACACAATGAGAGAATGGCACTGAATACTGTAGCTGCTGTCAGGTGAGATTTTTGTATCCGGAGGCTTATCAGCTATGCTGCCACTTGCTGTCATATCCCAGAATACCTTGCAGCAGCGGTATTTCAGCAAGCCTTCCTTCCCCTGCTTAATCAGGACGTGGCCGTATGTCACAGCTCATCACGCCTCACTCCCCGGACACGCAGTCCTTAATACGAGCTCCCCTCAATCCCGATTATCTGCTAGGCCGCTCTGTTGGCGTAAGCTTTTGTTGGCACTCAAGGAACCGTGAGATGCGCTGGTGCCGATGAGACGTTTGACTCCTCCGCTCGTCTAACTAAATGGTGGCTCGGTACGTCAGAAGCCTTCAGTACTATAAAAACTCACATTAAAGCTTGGACATAATAGACACACAGGCCTATCGCTGCCTTGAACGTCGAGCGAGCTGCTACATATACATATATGCTCATGCCTTTATTTGCATTCATCGGCAAGGCAAACTTTGATTTGCCCCTTAAAAGGTTCAGCAATCACAAGGTTTCCGCAGAGATACTTGAAAAAGAAACAGACCAGCACAGCCTGCTGGCGTCATGATGTTTTCCCTATTTTATCAAGGAATCCAGCTCAACAAAGAAGCTTTTTAAAGACTGCTATGGAAAGGCAGCTGATTTGACGTACAGTATTTCTTAATTTTCAAAAAGGAAAATGGCTATTTGGATGGACTGGACAGAATATCTGAGTGGTCAAGGGTTCTTAAGCACCTGTGTTGTGTGACTAATAGTCCATTCAAAAAAATAAGGAACAAGCAGTGTGGAACAGTAACGCTATGGCTATGGTGTGTTTTTGTGAGACCTGTGGTCAGCCTTCATTAAAAATAATGGAATATAATATGGCTTCAATAAACATCAGATTTTACATAATAAGCGTGTTAATTTCAATCACATTTTGATTACTTTCAGTTTTATGAAATGAAAGCCTGCTTACCCTCTTGTCACACACAAAAAACAGATCCAGGTGCTCCTGAACAAGGTGGAAATGGTGACATCATGATAATTCACACTCTACAGCATGATGTGGGACATGGTGACATCATGATGGCTCACCCTCTCCGGGGTGATGTGGGACATGATGACATCATGAGGGCTCACCCTATCCAGGATGATGTGGGACAAGGTGACATCATGAGGGCTCACCCTCTCCAGGATGATGTGGGACAAGGTGACATCATGAGGGCTCACCCTATCCAGGATGATGTGGGACAAGGTGACATCATGAGGGCTCACCCTATCCAGGATGATGTGGGACAAGGTGACATCATGAGGGCTCACCCTATCCAGGATGATGTGAGACATGGTGGCATTGGCATCCACGATGATGGTGGCGGTCTTATCGTCACGGATTTCCTTGAGGAGAGATGTAGGGTCCTCGTTGTCATCCAGCATGCGCACCGAAAGAGTCTCTCTGGAGATGAGAAAATGGCGGAGTAACCTCTCCAGGTTCAACAGGCCTGTGAGTCAAGATGGAGAACATTACAAGAACGTTAAAAGAAAATCAAGGGAAAGTTTACAAGGCACAAATGTGAGGAAATCCTGGTATCTACAGTATATGAAGAAGGTGAGATATTTAAGCTTAAACATGACAACCATAATGTTCTGCTCAGTCCCAAGTCTCATAAACACAGATAGAGTCTGGAAAAAAATCACAAGGTCAGGTAATTTTGGAAGATAATAAAAAAAATAAAAAACAGAACAGTATTAGCAAATAACCATCCTCAAAATGCCCATTTTCTTTATCTAAAATCTGTTAATTAAAGCAGTTAGTCTTGGGAATGGGGTGACGTCTTGACACTCCTGGCCGTCGACGTACCTCCAGTGTGCCCCCCGTCCATCATTTCCCATTCACAAGACACAGCCCTGTTAGGTAACTCACTCTATCTCCAGCATTCAATAAAGGAGGCAGATACGACCATCCATTTCACTCAGTTTGGGATCTGAGATGAAGAGGGGCCACTTTGTGGTCCAGACTGTGCATATTAAGAAAGGAAAAATAAAGTTTTATGCTATATAGATTTCTGTAATTTCTCCGTCGTCTGTATGCTGACAGCTATAATGTTTGATCAATGGGTCTCCATCTCCCGTTTACTGCAGAAAAAAAATCACTGAATTTATTTTCCTAATGCTTTCCCATGCATATATAGCTGAAGTGCAAAGTCTGTGTCGAAATCGAACAGAATCAAACCACTAACGAGACTCCTGAAGGGCAAAGCATCCCCCTGAGTTGGCCCTGTCAATCCACCCCCATCCTGGAGCCTGATGGAGGGAGATTTATTTCTTTCTTCATCATTTTTAATTGCAGGTAATGGAGGACACTTCAGAGTACGAGGGAAAGTGCTAAGTCAGGATGTTTTAATTGCTCCGCTTGATGAGGCCATTGGGCCGGGGGTGATGAGTGTGTACAGACACACCCAGCAGAGAAAACCCTCCCCTCAAATCGGCTCTGCTCCTCTGTGGCCTCTCAGAGGCTGGATGGAGTCCAAGAGTCAGTGGTCCTCCCCAGGTATGAGGACGTATCAGGCTAATGAGCTGGGTCTCAGGTTACCTTAGAACCTCATGCCATGTGTGCAGGGACATAATCAGTGCTCCAGGTTGGTATTGATAACTGAAGTTCTATTCTTTTGTATCTATCATTGTTTACTTGCAGGGCAATGGGATTCTTTCCAGGACAGAGCCTCATGCTGACGCCGAGCCGGTGCTCAGTGGAGCCGCTGCGGCACTGGAGGGACTCATCAGCGCAAACGGAAGGGGGTCACACCCCCAAGGGGCAGCCGCCACCAAACGTGTCATTTCCTGACAACCGCGGCTCCAGCCCAGCGTACCCTGCCCCCCAGCGCCCAGAAACCCACCATGGGTTCTGGGTAAGCGGCTGTGACATACACAGCGACAGCACAGACCCACTGCAGCTGGCGATGGTCATGCGTGTTGCCAGAACTGTGACCTGAAGGGTGTGGGTTTTAGTCCCTTTCGAAATTTCTCCCATAAAGCTGATGATTCATCTGATTTTCAGTGATAAAATTAACTAGAGCTTTTTGGATAGTGCTTTCAGGAGCACAGCTATACATTTTCATACACATGAGCTGCACTTAAATGACAAGTTTAACAGCATCACTTCCTGGAGAACATCCCTCTCCCCAGCTGAGGATGGAGGCAAACTTAAGTATGGGGGGGGCAGAGTATCAGCAGGGGGTTTTCTAAGGACATGAGCAAATGTGGGGTCAGTCTAAAAGTTAATCTGCCAAAATGTATCCTGAAGGTCATTCCACGACATATGAAGTCATTTTTTCCTAAAGGTTTACTGAGAAAAGCCTTATTGATTTACAGAAGCATGTGATTTTCCTGTTATGGTTCCCCTTTTCAGGGACAGATGGCAAGTAGGACAAGGATGAGATATTTGGCTTCGCAGCTCTGGCTTCCGTGCCGTGGAAGTCAATGGCTCTATTGTCCGGAGGAGTACAAGAGAAAACAGAACCAATGCTGTGTAAACCAAAATACTGGAAACCTAGGACAGCCGCGACGTAAACGGGGGTAATTGGGGTGACCTCATCCTCCTGTTGTGTCTCAGCTAATTCCTGGTTGTTTACATGAACTTCAGAGTCACGCAAATTAAGCAAACACCAAAACAGAACCGTGGAAATAATGGGACAGGAGATCATTTATGAGCGACGGTGCCTCAGTTCATGGCTGCAGCCCAGTTAAAGCGCTCAAGTGTGACACTCGGATTGTAATGAAAACTAGATTGACAATGAATGGTGACGTCTGTGTGCAGAAGGATGTGTGGGCGTGTCCCTGTATGATAATGAGCAGGTATCGTCAGGGAGTGAATGGGCAGGTGTGTGGGCGTGTCCCTGTATGATAATGAGCAGGTATCATCAGGGAGTGAATGGGCAGGTGTGTGGGCGTGTCCCTGTATGATAATGAGTGCTTGTCATCAGGGAATGGACCGGCAGCTGTATGGTGATTGGTGTGTCCCTTTATGGTGATGGGTGTGTCTCTGTATGGTGATGGGCGTATGATGAGGGACCTGTCACTCTAAGGTGGTGGGCATGTCCCTCTATGGTGGTAGGTGTGTCAATATATGATGGTGACCATGTCCCTGTATGGTGATGGGTGTGTACAGGCAGGGGCACGGGTGTGTATAGACAGGTGTGAGTGTGTGTGTGTCATGGCAACGGCAGAGAGAAGCCAGAAAGGCTGCAGCACTCACAGTCAGCGCAGCCGCAGACGAGGCAAGCCGTGGAACTGTTGAAGAAGCCCAGGAGGTCGGCCACAGCCAGGCTGACGTCCGTGTTTGTGGGCCGCATGTCCAGAGTGGTGAAGCGGGGAAAGCGGACCTTCAGCATGTCCTCGGGGGCCACCTTCACGTAGGGCACCTGTGGGCAGAGGGAACCCAGCACTAGCAGAAAAAAACAAACACTTCACGCAGTCTGAACAAGTCAGTCCCATGTGACTTAGAGGAGTCCGTAAGCAGAAATCATTTTCAGCATGACGTCCCAGTGCAGGGAGCTGTGAGCTTTCTGCACGCCTCACACACCATCAGAGCTTCAGGGAAGATGGAAGAACTTTTAAAGCTTATTTCACACTCAGATCTGAGTCTGGCAGCTTGCTCTTAGGTCTGTGTTCAGTGTTCCACTCTTATGCCTGTGTTTAGTGCTCAGCACTCCTGTGTTCAGTGTTTCCTTCTT